TTGCCGCGCGATAACTTCACCGGATGACGCCCCTTGTGCGTTCCTACGAGGTGGAAATAAAAGTCTTTCGCGTGTACCTGCTGCCGACGCTCAAAGCGAACAATAACGGGAGATCATGTGTGGAGAATTTTCTTGCGTTCTTATGAGCATCTCGAAAAGGAAGGGTCCTTTCTCCGCTCCCGTCGGGGTTCATAAGCCGCACAATAGGGCCAATGACATGCATTCTCGTAAACCCCGGCGAGGCCGCGGGATACCGCGATTGGATCTCTGCGTGTTGTCAAAATTGTATTCTGGGGAACTCGGAACGCCGGATGGAAGAATGATGGCCGCGGATCACTGAATGCCTGGATAATGTTGGAGATGCGTGCCTGATCGATGTCTTATTTAACGGAATATTCCGAGATTTATCGCGCGATGATTACGGCAAAAAACAAGAAAAAGAAAAACGAAAAGAAATATTCCAATTGCCATTTCCACGCAAACACATATCGCACGTAATTGCTATCGCGTTGCCTCGGGTAATCGGGCCGGAAGTGGATACGTACATTCTCCAATCAGGACACGTTATCGTTATCTCTGACGTTTAATGTACAGGAGGATTTTAATCACTGAATATGAATTTTCATTTAAGAGTTTCTTTTGACGGAAATTTTATTTCGCGACAGCTTTGAATTCGATTTAATGTGGCGAATTATTAATAATTATATGTATTTTATTTAAATATAAAATATATAATATATACATTACTTGTACGTTAATACGTATGTGGATTTAATTTTTTGAGATGAATGAATTTCCGGCACGTTTTACTAATTAAACGTTAAATTGAAATTCTGATAAAATGATTTATGTCAATAAGGAATTATATGTATGTCGTTATATAAAATCGAGCCCGAATTTCCTTTTCTTGAAAAAAAAAATCGATTTTTGGAACAAACGGAACAGAAAGATGATTCGTCAGCTACTGTAACTCGTTATGTCGTCTAATAACGGCAGTTTTCGGTTTGTTATATAACATTGCGCATTTTTTCTGTCATATATTTACGTAACGATAATATCGTTATCGTAACGACTTGCAGAATCCCGCTACTGATGTTTAACGACTCGGCAAAGACTCGCGTCGTACGCGAACTGTCCACACACGTAAATTTTAATTCTTACTAATTCTTATTAATATTAGCTGCAACATTTCTCTCTCCTGCTCCCGATTCTCTCTATTCACACTCGTCTCGTATCACATGCACAGAACGCGCACAAATATTCATTTAATACGGCACGTTTAATGAATATTCCCCTCAGATTGATTTAACTACAAGCGGAGAGCTTACAAATTCCGCGTTCGAAAAAAGAAGATACGACATCACATGTCACAAAGGATCGTACGATTTCCAGCAAAATCTAACGACTGATGTTACCGTGAACACGCACGCGTGCGCACGCCCGCTCAGGAAAAAATAATAGTTTAAAAATGTCTTCCGATGGAATACCGTTGTTCACGTCGATGTCGCGGTTGCCTTGAGGCAGTCGTCTGAAACAGCGAAGTAATTAAGGAAAATGTCACCGCGAGCATTCGTTTACCGACGATTGCGAGTGCGTGCGCGCATCCGAATAACGGCCAGATAACGTGGGCTCTAGGTGGTCCGCAGGATGCATTCGTAATTTCTTGCACTGCTTTTGAAAGGAATCTCTCTCTCTCTCTCTCTCTCCCCCTGTCTTTTTCTCTTTCTTTCTTTTTCTTCCTATCTCTCACCCATCATTGGACATCCAGCTCGAAAAAGATGCGCTCGCATTGCCGACGACAAGAAGATCCCGTAGCTGCCGGCGAATAACGATCGCAGGTTCGCCGGTGCCTTTCATATGTATGTACAACGACGTCGCGTCTCTGCGGATCATCTCGACTGTCTTCCGCTTGCTTATGTATTTATTCGATCAGATTTGAATAATTGGCCACTCGATAGGGCCGTCGTTTAATAAACTGAGCTAACTTGTCTCTCGCGTGATGAATTCGCCGATGAGTGAAAGAGACTGAAAGAGTGCGCGAGAGAGAGAGAGAGAGAGAGAGAGAGAGAGAGAGAGAGAGAGAGAGAGAGAGAGAGAGAGAGAGAGAGAGAGAGAGAGAAGGACGAGGAGAGCAATAACGAAAAGATTCGAAGGATCGAAGGGGAGAAAATCGTATTATTTCGACAGAACGACGTTAAGAACGAGGGCGAAACAGTTCGCATATTCGCCGATACAGAATAATCCCGTTAAGACGTAGTAACGAGAAGGAGAGAATTCTCTTTTCGACGGAGAGGAAAACTTATTGTTCGCGTCGAGGCATTCACGTTCGAGTGTTGTCTTTATATTGCGCTATTAGGGACACCCGTCGTTATCATTATCAGTAGGACGTAACAGCGGCGGAAGTCTTCCCGCGGTGAGCCAGGGACATGCATTCTCATCAAGCGAGAGGACGACAAGCAAATCTCGTGAGTGCACCTGCCGGGCTGGGTATTAGAAGAGCCGGGACACAACTTTCTGTGAGAGCAAGCGCGCGGGAGAGAGCGATCGCTTCTCGAAATGTTTCGTCGCGTCTTAAACGCGCGACGACGCTCGCGCGCATGCAATGCTTATAACGCGCGCCTGCACGTACACGAGGAGTGTTTCGACGAAAGTTTACAAAGCAAATTATATGCTTCGATAATCGCGTCCCAGGCAAATGTTATGATTTGACGCGAAGAGCCTTGCGGTTAGCACGGCGCGAGTATAACTATATTCCTGTTATTGCAGCATAGATATTTGGCGCGCGCGCGGTTACGGTCTTTCGGCGGTTTTCATTTTGCACACGACTTTCATGACCATTCCGCGGTTTTGCTTTCGCGGCAGCGCGCGCGGGTGCTCTTTGAACAATTCGAAATAACGATCGAAATGCTGTTCTTACCTTCACACGGCGCGCGGCGCGCGGCGCGGATTTGGATCGTGGGTGCTTTCAGCGCGCCGCCGTTCAGAGCAACCCGCGTTTGTATTTCCAGCCGCGTCTGGCTACTATCGCGCAGCCACGATTTCGACTCCACTCTGTCTTCCGACGGCTCGTAATTTCCGAGTTTCTGCACTTTCCTCGTCGTTACCCGCGGCTTTTCTTACTCGTGCGCATCCCCTGCGGTTGTGCGCGCTCGCTTGCGGCAGGTGAGCGAGTATTGTGCGATTTTTCGTGTTTGTTACGCGCACGTTGACGTAAAGCTGAGATACGAATCAAGAAGCGTAGCCGGCGTATCCGCTTGCGTCGGTTTATAGAAATGCGCGCGTACCTCACCGAGTGCATCAAGAGGGAATTTCGAGATACAGCCGGACGTACATATCGACAACTCGCGAGAGTACACGCTCTCTCGCTCTCTTTCTCTGTCTTTCACTTCCTCCCCCTCCCTACAACTCTATACTCTCAACAAGACCGCAAACAGCGCGGCCATGCTCCAGAAATAAAAGGAAGAGCGGCGGCGTACATGACGCCCTCGTCGACTTGCGAAAAAGTACAGCACGGCACACGGCTGGTAATGCGTTCGATCCGAAAAACCTCCATGGCGGATTCGTCAGTTATGTTCAGCTGCGCGTCGGGATTTAGCGTAAATTTTATTACATCATCGAGACACCGCGACCACTGTCGGTGGTCCACTCCCGGGCGTCCGTATTTTTTCAAAGCCAAAGGCAAAACGCCGTGCGCTTTGCCGACGCGAGCGCTTTGGATGATTTTCCGCCTTTCACTTTCACAATAATCGAGCCTCTAATTGATAAATACGGACAAACTTGTTCTTGAATTCTTGTCACCTGCCAACGTGTAATTGGCCGGGGAACGTTGGCCACGCGAGGATTTTATTGAGTTGCTCTTTTCAGTGACTTACCTTGAGTTCGATGCTCTTTTGTTGTCGCACTGTTGTTTTCGATGTTGCAATTACTGCCGCCGTGACGCCGCTGATGTCACTCGTCAAACTGGTTTGCACGCGTTTCCTGCAAGAAAGACGAAGAATAGGTTAGATAAGTAGCGCCGATCTAACCTGTATGAAATCCAGGCTAACATTTCCGCGCGATTACGAGCTCCGTGACCTCAATCTCCGACTCTTTGTCAACTCATCGCTAATTGTGCGCCCGAAGCAAGTATTCCGCGTAATTCAATGCGGCATTGTCGTCGTACTATGATATTTACATTATATCAACGCGTTCGAGTGTTTGAGACCTACGGTAAGCGTTCGGCGGTAATTTTCAGCGATACAATAACCTCGCTTATTCGCCAATTTACGAGTCGTATATTTCACGAAAATATATATGTATATATATTTCACGAAAATACCGTTACGATGCAACAGCACTCGAAATTCGAGCAACTCTGCGGTCGAGATCTCACTTACTGCCTGTCGTTGGAAGAAACGTCGATCGGTCGGACGGTGGCGCCATTAGTCGCCATCGTCAAAGCGGCAACATCCCCGGTGTTTATCGTGGGCGGATAGTTCGCAAGTGGTCAAGTCGACATCTCGTCTCATCTGAGCGTGAAAGAAAGCCATCTCGCGTTCAAGGTGAGGACGTTAAATATCCGTGCGGCGATATCGAACGAGCCACGCGACATTAGCCGGCAAATATCAAATATCTTACGCGACATTAACCGCGCTACGTGCATACGTCGGCGACACGGCGTCGTGTGAAATACGCCATTTCACAAGTTTACCCAGCAACGCTCGTCGGAGCAACCGCCATCGCCGCTCTTCACGCCCTCCTCCGTCCTACCTTCGGAATGTTGTGTATCATTGTCGTAAAACAAACATTCGTCCGCAACAACGGGACGAAGGGACGAGAGACAGAAAAACACAAGTCGCACGCGCGTCGCGGTCGTTGAGGCGTTAATCAAAAGAATGCGCCATGCGGAAGCCACTCGCGTTCGCGCGCTGGGCACACTTCGCGGATGCTTCGGCCGCCGTCGGCAATCTTCGGCCGCGCTCGGGCGGGCGACCGGCGCGCGCCCCGTGCCCCACTCGCGCACCGCTCAGTGCTGGTCGTGCAGTCGTCGCGTCTTTATCCTTTTCACGCTTGGCTGAGTGAAAAGTCGACCACCGCGCGTACCGATCATCCGTTCGAAGTGAACGACGATTCCAGACTGCGTGTAGTGTCGTCGCGAGCCGGTCACTGCACCGGCAGTATTCACACGAGACGTCGCCGCGTCGAGGAGTCTGTCGTGGAGTTTTGGCGGCAGTGAAAATCCGCGGCAGCTTTTCCCCCGGACTCTCTCCCTCTCTTTCTCGCTCTCGATCAGTACTGACAATCAAGGGGCGAAAAAAACGTTGCCGGCGCGGGTGACGTGAAGTGAGCCGCGGCGCTCCAATTCGCAACAAGTTGCAGGAGTGCTTTCAAGTGAGTCTCAACGGATTCTTCGCCTCCGTTTCTCCGTTCGCGAGTGTGTCGTTCGTTCGTTCGTTCGTTCGTTCGTTCGTTCGTTCGTGCGTGCGTGTGTGTTCGTGATCCAGAGGATTAATGCGACGATGATCCCGTGAGGAGCCGCTGTCAATCTCGACGATGGCAATCGGATCTACGAGCCTGGCACGGACTGTGGCCAAGAATAGCGATCGTACTCGATGGTTATGTCGCACGCCGTGATCGCGATTCCGAAAGATTCTTTCCAAGGTAAGAACGACCGTGCACACACACACACACACATATTCTTTTTCCTCTCACCTTTCTCCCGCGTTTCCACTCCAAATTTGTATGCGCGCACAGATGGCAAGAGAGGAATGATCGATGGGAAACATTTGCGAGAGACTAACAATTTGCATAAGCGTCGTATAATAGACGATATTTCAGCGGAGCGATCAATATGGCGAGGTTAATGCTTTATCGTGCTAATAAATGGGAGCTTACATTGTAAATGTTAATCATTAGCTGTTGAGCCAGGTTTCACCCCGAATTCGCGATCGTACACGTGATATTACGCGCTAATTGCGCAATGTATATTTGCCCCGAACGGGCAACATCGAAGAACACACGTTTTCGTTCGGCCGGAACGGAATGTACGCTTTTCCGTCATGCTTCCGGGCACGGAAAATTATATTTCATCGGAATAATTTTCTCGTATCGTTGATGCGTACGGCGGTGGCCGGAGAGGTATGCTCCGTAATGCGATTATATTACCCGCGTAATTCGACGGGCAGGATCTCGTACGCAAATGTTCCCTGTTGACCGGAGAATTGTAAAAACCAGCCAGAGAATTGCTAAGTCGCCGCGCGCGCGTCCTCAGGCGGTCAAGTACGTTTGAAGGACTCCCGTACTCGTCTCTCTTTCTCTCCTCGTACGCTACGCGTTCGGCACGATTTACTCGACGTGCGCCGCTGAGGTATTATTTCTCAACGGCACCGAGCCCCAAAAGGGCGGGGGGAGGGGGCTTGGAAAACTGGGCGCATTCTCTCCGTACGACGCACGTCGTATGTTTATCTCGTATTATTTCACCATTAAAATTCCCCACCTGGGGAGGGCGCTCGCTCGTCCTCGGCGATCCACCCCCGTCGTTCACTACATCCTCCTCCTGGCGTAATGCGCGGAATGGAGGACAACGGCGACGCGCGACGTTCGTAATTTTTAATTGCCGGACCGCGGAGTTAACTATCGCGCGGCGCGTCTTTTTTTCGCGAGGGCGTTCGGCTTTGTCGGTGCTCGTTACCGCGTCGTCCCTCGCACTTTGTGACGTTCCGTCTCTAATTTCGCCGACGACCTGGTGGTGTGTGCGTGTCAATTTGACAAATTTTTTAATTGTAACGCCGAACACATACGACCGGAGGGAAACTCATCGGCGACTGACGACGACGACGATGACGACTCGTGTCGTCAAAATAAATTAGGACGGCATACAATGAGATCTCTGGAAAAACGGAGTTGGTATGAACGAGCGAACGAGCGCAAGATATTAATGCACACTGGACCACTATTGTTTGTTCTCAATTAATCGGCAATACGAAATCGGTGCGGGTGTAGAAATGAAATAATATTATCGCGCAACAATCGGATGCGTCCTCGGCGTGTATCGCGTTGGAATATAATGAGATATTATTTGCTGTCTTAAAGCGGCCATACTGCGCACTGCATATGTCAATACGAAATATTGGAAATATTGTGTTACGACGTGGAAATATCGAGTCATATTTCCTGCTTTGCGGTGGCGACGCAGCCCACCCACCGCTAAAATATTTATGAGCGGCAATAGAATTGTATTACGATATTCACGTCATTACGTGTGTACGTAAAGTGAAACACAGAATAATATCGCGAGCGTGTTTGCGAGCGAGCGAGTGAATGAGCGCGAGACTTCCTCCACGATAAAATCGTAAATTAATCTCAATCGTGACGCGTTGCTTTTTGACACGTTGCTTTTCATCGCTCCCACCTTCATTCATGTATCATAAATCTTAGACGATTTGAAGAATAAATACGCGTCGTCCATCAGACACCACACACACACACACACACACACACACACACACACACATGCACACACACACGGAATCGCAGGTCTGTTAAAGCAACTGCGCGAATTCGGTTCAATCTAATCCCGCCGTCGGAATTTTAATCTTTGTAAAATTTCCATGTTAAATCGGCGCGCGGTGTCACCAAAGAACGATCTTTCCTCGAAAGGGAGGAGGGCCCTTTTCGGTCGCAACGAACGAGCGAGCGCCGTTGCGATCAATCGGTCGGACACACGATAATGCCGAGAACAGTTACGAGCGTATTACACGGGACTCAAATTGGACGCTTGTCACTCGTTGACTGGCAATTTTCTCGAAAAAGGCGCGCGTTGCCAGTCACGAAAACAATTTGTGCCTTTGTACGATCGGAGAGATGAAAGAGCTCCCTATAAAAAAAGAGTCCCGGCGCGTCGGCTTCAGAAATTATACCTGTTGGGGGATACGAGGGCCTGGCAATGAAACCGCTGATTCGTCCTTTTCTTTTGTCGCGCCGTTGCTCAAGCATAATTTGCTTCCCGATGTATTAATCGCGGCACACACGCACACACCGATGTTCGATACGGATTGTTAGCGCGCTGTTGAAAACGCGCATATTTTCGAGCCGCTCGTGTATATTTCTTATTCCAAAAACGATTATATTGTTATGATTATTAATGTAAACACGATGTATTCCGGGGTTTCGCACATAAATGTCTACTTGCGCTCATGTGCTTATTATTTTACACGGTTAAACCTGTAACAGATTCAATTCTGTGCTACTTTCCGGCGCAAAGAGTTGACAATATTTTCACTGATAATTTTATCGGTAGATAAAACGTGGGCCCTTTTGTATCGGTAATTACTTTAGTTTAATGGAGCGATTCGATTTGATTAAATTAAACATAAATCCGCTTTATGCATCGGCCAGCGCGGGGCCCGGTCATGTGAATGAAACGGAGCCGGCGGGTCGCGCTCGCGGCTTTCGCTCTTATTTATCGGGGACGAGACTCGGGAAAGATACGGGCGGGAGATCGAGCCGGGGTTGTGGACGTGTGGGGCTCTCTGGCGCGGTTTGAATTTAACGCGTTCGAGGCTACCATTATGAAAATTTCGGGAGCACACCGCGACAAAGGGCGCGGGTAAGAAAAAGCATGTGTGCTCGCGCGCGCGCGCACGTACGCATTGTAATTCTTCGTACGGACATGCAATTCTTCATACGCCTGCGCGACGGGTTTAATACCTACCTCTCGACGCAGCAATGACATTTACAAGCGCGTATGTGTCCCTCGACATACGAAAAACAAACGCTACGCACGGTAAAAGCGGAAGATTATTCGTACGAGCCGTACAAACTACAGCTCGCGTTCGCCCCGTGCTTTCATTTTAACGCAAATGCTTTCGCTTCTACTTTCCACTAAAAACATTCGCGTCACTTCTCTTCGTGCGGCTCTTTGATCCATGTATTTCGCGTCCGCGTTTTTCCACACACACACACACACACACACACACACACACTAGCCGCTCTCCAATTTGTCGTTGTCGGTGTGTGTGTGTGTGTGTGTGTGTGTGTGTGTGTCACGTCGTCGAATTATCGGAGCCTGCGAGTTAAATTTCAACAAAATCCACCAAAGTTAAAAAGCAGCAAGTGGCGTCCAGGAAAGAGAGCGTAAGAAGAGGGGAGAGCGGGAGGAGAGAAGCATCATTACGATCCGGTTCGATGTAATGGCAAAGCGCGGAATATCCTGCGATTTCCGCGATGACGATGTCGCGCACGAAGTACACGCGGCGTATGCAGCGCGGCGAAATTCTCGCGGTCATTAAATTCACCTATTGTCAATTCGGTGCGCTTATAAACGCGCCGAGACGACGATGGAGGAGATCGTTAGGGCTCGATCCACGAATCCTCCTTTCCCCCTTCAGCTCCCTTGCCGGTGACCGCCGAATAGTTCCGTCGGTGGGCGCGTCGCTGCATTTACATGGAAATCTGATGGGTCTCTCTCTCTATCTCTTTCTCTCTCTCTCTCTCTCTCTCTCTCTCTCTCTCTCTCTCTTCCTCTCCCTCTCACCCTCTCACCCTCACCCCCTCTATCTCTCTCTCTACACGGGTAGACGATTACATACATTCCTGGCATTATGCTGTTTCATCGGGAGATTCTGGCCGCGATCTGTCCTAAGAATCCCCGGTATTTTGCATCGCGGCGCATCTAATCCGCGCCGCGATTTCGACGACGCAGCACTGGTTATGAAGCTTGTCGCAAATCCGTCGAGAGAGAGATAGAGAGAGAGAGAGAGAGAGAGAGAGAGAGAGAGAGAGAGAGAGAGAGAGAGAGAGAGAGAGAGAAATATGTGCACGTGATTCTTACGCGATTACGGCGTGTCGTCATAGTCGTAGTCGTCGTCGTCGTCGTCGTCGTCGTCGTGTTGAATCAATCTAATCGCGAGATAAGCTCGTCCGGGCTGCGCGGTCGTCGTTGTGTGCGAGGCGAAAGCGTCGCCGAGGAAGGATATCGCGGACATAATTCGGCCGAGATGTCGAGGCCACCGGCGCTCTCGCCACGCGACCCGATTGGAGGATGATGAGGAAAGTGTAATCTGAAATCGTCAACGTTTCGAAACGCAACAATGCTATTCCGCTTGTCCCACGTTCAATGCGAGATACGGCGACGAGAGTCGTCTTATTTCCTGACTGAGTCGATATCGCGCGCGTAAACGTCGTACGAGAAGAAAAGAGCGGAAGAGAGAGAGAGAGAGAGAGAGAGAGAGAGAGAGAGAGAGAGAAAAGGAGAGAAAAGAAGCGAGAAAGAGCGAGATAAAATCCCGAGGTGGAGATGGGCCGCTTTTACTCCTGAACGCGAATTACGAGCGAGGATCCTGGCAGAGAATCCACCTGCGTAAATTGCTCCGCAAGAGCGTCCGCTTAATAAAAATTATTTGGCCTCGAATTCGATTCTCCGGCCGTGCGCGTGAATTACCGCGGGTATCATTTTGGGGGTATCATGATTGTATCATTAACAATGTATGATGGTGTTATCGCTGTAGATTACTGTCGGGAATCGTTATCTGATATTGGCGAATTTTGCGGAATTGCTGCGCAAATTTTCGGTTTGCGGTTTTAACCCTCGGATCGAAACGGATCGGTCCGGTCACTTCTTTCACACAGGCAATCGTACGACGTGGAATAATGAATCGTAA